ATACAATGTTGAAAATGAACACATGCTCTTTACGTGGTTCCTTTTCCATTTTCTCCTTTAAGAGCCTCAACTGTGTTGTGTAGGAGCGTTGGAAAATTTCACAAACTTTCTCCACAAATTAAAAAGCATCTCTGTGTTTGTCTGAGTTATTCCTTATACATAAATGTATGAAAACACTATCTTTTATTTAAACAAGCAGATATATTCTTTCTAACTTGAGGGCTTTGGACGCAAATACCTTAACTGTCCCTTAATCATTTATTGTCTCAGATATCCTCGGATTCTTCCCCTGTGTTTTGGCTTGTTTACAGACATCTGGTTTACATAGTATATCTTTTTTACAGCAACGAACTGGATCATTTTTTTTCTCCATGCTCTAGACCATCAAAACACCAGCTTTTCTCAAGCTAATGGTCTTATGCTTCTGGCACAATCAGCAGAAATCTCCTGCTGTGTTTTACATATCTATATGTCACATTTAAAACATGCAGTATAAGTTACTGTAGATTTTCTTATTAGAGAAAAGAGTTTAAAGTTTATTTCAGCTTTAATTAATACATGATGTCCCATTCTTTGCAGCTGACACAGAAAATGATAACTGAAAATGTAGCCAAGACTTTACATGGGCACTGCTGTCTGCCAGAGTATCTATTTGTCTCCACCTTTGTGCTCTTGCCAGAACATTACAGTTCAACAGTTGACTGATGCAGAGCTGATGAACAAATGTGGATACAGAATAAGTTTGATTCTCTTTTCAAAGACATGACTCTGTAACTTGTGTGTGTGGATTCAAAGAGTTAGAGTAAATAATTTATGTGAGGATTACAGAGGGAGGCAAAGAAGTGGGTCAGAACTGCATTTAGTTTATTAGACATTTGCAAAGATCAAACAGTGAGTGAAATAGATGGAGACAGAAATTACAAAACAGGGAGTGGAGCAGGGGGTGTTTAAAACTGACACTTTGAACAATTAATCACATGTATTTATGCATGTGTTTGTCATCTTTGCATCTTTGTGTGTTTATGTTTCTGTGTATCTCATAGGGAAGTTATATTTTAAAAAATTCCAGTAACTCCTCTTTATTAGGCAACTGTTGTTCCTCATGGGGCAGAAGTCAGTACCCACACTAATCTGTCTCTCTCTCTTGTGTTTAGTATGAGTGTGGCATACCAGAGGTCTGTTCTCGCTGTGTGATCTCAATAACAACACTGAAATTGTGCCTCAGGATGTGTATGTGTGTCTGTGTTTGTGTGCGTGTGCAAAGACCCGCTCCCCCAGGAGGCCCCTTGGGCCTATTGCTGTGACAGCCAATGACAGCACATGCACCCACACAGACAGAAAACAGTGGTATATTACACATGGGATAACAAATGAGGATTAGAGAGTGTGACAAGAGATTTAATGCTTCCTGGTGAAGGTCAAGTTGAAAAAATAACTATGTTAGGTGGAAGAAGGAGATGGGAGGAAGAGCCAAAGAAAGTCAGAGAGGATGGGAGAGAGAAAAGTGGAAAAAGGCAACAGGTTGCCACAAACATAAGGACTCAAGTTCATTACTTTCTACTTGTTGTGCTTTTTAATGCATAGGCCAAACAAACACAACAATCTAATCTCAGAAAACTTAAACTTGAGGGTTGTTCTTACCCTCAACTGAAAACATCATCCGGACTAAGGTATTTCTCTATTTATAGATTTAGCATGGAAAAATAAAGCACCTACTTGCATTTGGTTAATATTTTGTAATCTTGTTTTTTTCCCCCTCAAGATGTTCAAGACACTTTAAAAACAAACCCACACTTTTCCTGTACAGATTTTGACTCGGAGCTTTGGCTTGTTGATTTTGAGCTGGAAGCTGGCAGTGTACCTCTGTGCATCCTCTGCTACCTTGCCTCTAAAATATGTGCAACAGAAAAAAAATATTTAGCTAGTGATAAATCAGAGCAGGCCTCGAAAAAAACTAACACAGAGTGTGTGTGTGTGTGTGTGTGTGTGTGTGTGTGTGTGTGTGTGTGTGTGTGTGAGAGAGAATCCTCTTTTTCTGAAATATGTGTCAGTGAGGCATGTGAGGACACTTGTGGGTGGGTGTATTCACATCCATGTATGTGTGCGCGTAGGCTGGTCAGTGTTATAAACACCAGCGGAGTTTGTTTACATGCTCAGTATCAGTTTGGGAAGCTGTCATTTACCAAGCTATACACACAGATATTTAACACAGTGTGCACAGTAAGGAGTGTGAGTGGACATGTTTGTGTGGATGTGTGTGTGTGTGTGATTGTCATCCTGTAATCATGTTTTTCTAACTGACTGTCCACATTTCAAGAGCAGCTTGCCAGGAAATGTAACTTCCTGCCCAAGAGACTGATTCAGCAGCATCCAGCTGTTGCATGTGTATGGTTAGAAACACAGGAGAGGAAAAAGTAAGACAGAGGTGTGTGTGTGTGTGTGTGTGTGTGTGTGTGTGTGTGTGTGTGTGTGTGTGTGTGTGTGGAAAGGGGTGGAAGGGGATTGCCTGTTTTTGTTTTTTGTTTTTCCCATACAGTTTCTTAATTGTTGTTTACCCAGACACCGAACACCCCCTCCCCCACTCTCCCCTACGCAGAAGCCCACCTCCTTCTCTTTCAGTTGTTGTTGTTTTTGTTTTTTGTTTTTGACAGATTTAAGTAGGAAACTCCATCTCCTTAAGAACCCATTAAATATCATGTGTCTGCACACTCAGTCTAAGTTATTCTAACCTTTCTGTGCTTTTCCCCTCCTGTGGTCATTCTGAAAATCTTGAATCCCACAAGTATGCAGTCCTGAATTCACAAACGTGGGGTTTTGAGACACTGTTTTCATGTATGCTACGAATGCTTGTGGTTGTGACTGCAGTAGCACTATACTACTATTAAATTTTATGTCCGGACCATACAATATGTATGAGTACATATGTGTAAGATGTAATGCCTCTAAGCGATGTTCTTCTAGCACGGGAAAGAAAATGGAGAAATAGAAATTTGTGCATTAAATACAGAAACTAAGACATCTAAAACTAGAAAAGCGGAATGTAGAAAATGGAGTGGAGAGACAGAAATAATACTGAGCTGGGTCTTCACATGCCAAGTTATTTTCACTCTTGTGCATAGTCTTCAAATGATTTTAACAATCAGCCTTGTTTGCCATCCTACTACACAGTATGTTTGCTTTCTGAGACTGGTATTTATTGCTTGACTTCCTTTACTGTACAGATCAATGTCTCCAGTAGCTCTCAAATGCAGAGATGAGCTGAGTTGGGTTTTTTTTGTTTTGTTTTGGGGGTTTTTTAAGAAATGTTCCCAAGCAAATATGTTGAATATGAAGCAGGGAAACGGAGAACATAACATCCCATTTTCAGGAAGATGATGAAATGAGCATATCACATAAAATATATGTGAAAATTAAAAAAAATGGTGTATATCTATCTATATCTAGCTATATCTAGCTATCTATCTAGCTATCTGTAGAGATATCTGTCTATAAAATAAATGTTTTTAAAAACATATGTGTTAATAGTTTCTGTATGTGTGACCATGCAAACTTTTGCTCATTATTTAAGGAGAAGAAATGGTGCATACAGATATATGTGTGGATATATACATGCATAATTAAGATTACCAAGATGTATATCTTAGTTTAAAGAGTTCAACCTTTATTATTATTTCATATTTAATATTTCACTGTAAGGTTTAAATAAACAGTTATAGTCACTAAAATAAATCAGTCTGTCCTGTTTTATTTTTTTCATTTTAAACTCCTTATTAATTGTAAATATCCTCTGGAAATGCAGTGGTGCGTCTTTATTTCCTTGACAAACATGCAATTTGTGCCCAAGAATGGAGAAAAACAGCAATGGAAACATGAAAGCGCCAGGTGTTTTCTCCCCTGTACAACACCTGCTTCTCTTTAGCTGAGTTGTGATTTCTCAGCAGGGTCATAGTAAAGTCTTTGTTGATCTTCTCTGACGAAACAGGGAGTCACGACTGTCTGCTTTAACATTCTGCCCTACTTTTAACTTGGGTATGTCTGGTACCTTTCTGCACCGTTATTTTAGAATGGCGCTTCAGTTCAGATTTTACTGATATAGCCAATTCACGACAAGAATTATTATATTACCTTATTTTAAAGCAAAGATGCTACAGCTGGATACTAACTGGAAATTGTAGCATCTTGCACACACAAAACACCTAATATGTGCACATGTATGGAAACACTCAAATACACAGTTGTCTACTTCTTGATTATTGTCGTAATAATTTACTTTTTCTCATGTTTTCCCTTTCTCACCCTGACTCCTTTCTCCTCCCTCTTCCCCCTCTTCTCTTTGTTTACTCACAGGTGGTGTCCTCCTATCCAAAACACATGCTCATCCTAACAAATTGCTGACAGAACAAGACGGACGGGGTAAGGGAGTACGGGAAAGAGAGATCTCCCAGACGCACACTCATAAAGAGAAAGGGGCCATTGGCCATCTGTGGTCAGTCCCCTGCTATTTTGCAGCTGCGTTGGAGTCAGCGAATGGTCCTGAGCTCTGATAGGAAAAAGAGTTTTTTCTCCAACGTTGCCCAGGGGATGAGCCCAGGCTAGGGCAATGTTAAAGCCTCGCTGGCCTTGGATTAAGCCCCTTGGGCTATTTTGTGTAGGGATGGGTGATACCCCAGCTGGATCCTCTGCTGTCACTATTCTCCACAGCTATCATTAGTGGCTAATGAGCTGCTGCTAGAGAGGAAACGGGGAAGGTGCCTGCGGAGAGAGGTGAAACATTTACAGCTCTTATTAAGAGGCCCACAGAGAATTCTTTGCCTATTTAAAGCTTTGACTAGCATGACTTTGCCATTTATTATTGTAGGCATTTCTTTATATATTTTGATAGCCTTTTTTGTTACAGCATAAAAATGGCACCTAGAAGTTGAAAGACTTTTTTTTTTTTTTTTTTTTTTTTTTTTTTTTTTCCAGGAAGATGATTCAGTGTTTGGACATAAATTATTTTTCTCATGAAGCAGTTTCAAAAATATATTTTTATTCAGGAGGAATTTTGGTAGATTGTTTTTGTTTTACTCTTCCCGATAATTTTGACCTTCCTATTCCCTGAAGATCATTGGTCACCATGGCAGCAGCCTATCGTGTTGTTGTGAGCAGCGTGAGCTGTTACAACAGTGTGGTAGTAGACCGACGCACTCACTCCCATGCAGTACACTACTGCTCAGGGCCATGTGGAGCACTGTCCCAGGGCTTGGACTGCACTGTTGCACACCGTGGCACCTGTTCTGAGCTCCTTGTTGCACCTGACCCTCAATACAATGACCTTAACAGCTCGCCCATACACTCCCGCAACATTATTGCTCAGCAGCTTCCTAACCATGCTAAAGTTTGTCTTGCCATGGATAGTACTCATAATGGGAGCCTAGAGAGGGCAGGCAGCAGTGGCAATTTATCTTTAGGAGAAGAGAGCCCAACATGGCGTGGTAAGAAGACCTCTGGTGGTGGAGCATCGACTGGGAGTATGACCTCCTCTGGCAGTCTGAAGGATATTACCGAAGAAGCCATCAACCTGGCCAGTGGTAAACTCAAGGAGTTTTCATTTGATAAGCTCCGCCTCTCATCCTCCAGCCACATCACCTTCCGGAAAGGCCGTAAAGTCCGTCCTGACTCTTTTAGTCGTCGCTCCACCGACCTGGAGATTATTTATGGCCACTTCAGCTCCAACCTTACCACAAATGCAACTACTAACGGTATGACAAATGGCACGGCTTCTTCTAATGATGAGAACCTGCCACCATTTGTGCAAGGGAAAGGAACGGTGCTAGAGGAAACGAAGATTAAGGGCAACCCAGGCACCATGTCGTCCATCACCAAAGTTGCTGGTGGCTCAACAAACAGCCTCACGAGTATTGGGTCATTAGACCAAAGTCTGAACACAGTGGCCTCCCTGTACCGCAACACCCTAGGAGAAGAGAACTTAATTGCCCGTCTGCTGGAGAAGACGCGAGCGGAGGCAGCTACTGGCGGAGCAGGTGGCGAAGACATACGTGCCTGCCTTGATATTCTGCTTAAATGTTCTGAAGACCTTAAGAAATGCACTGACATAATCAAACAGTGCATCAAACACAAAGCTGGTGGAGGCCCAGAGGATGGGGAAGCAAGCCCTGACAGTGTGTATCGGGCTGTGATGACTCGTCTCAGTTCCTATCTTAAGAGATTGCCTCTGGAGCTGGAAGGAATTGGAGGTTTTGGAGGCTGTGGACAGGGTGCACCTGGAAGCGGGCACAGTGATTTGGCTGAACTGGTTAACACTCTTCACTCCATCCAGCAGGGACCTTATTCGCCGATATTTGGCAATGAACAACCTCCTCGCTATGAAGATGTGGTGCTCTCTCCTCCAATCCCAAAGACTGTTCCACATTCTGTTTCTGCTCCATCCTCTGTCTCATCTACTTCTTTATCTCTAAAATCAGATTCCATCCATACCAAACCAGTTCAGAGCTCAGCCCAGCTTAGAGCTACCCCACTTACTAATGGAGTTATCCAACATCCACATACTTCTTCTTATACACAACATACTCTCTCTCCTCCAACCATTATATCCTCTTCATCCAGCTCCTCTCCAACACACTCCTCCTCCCCTCTTCGTAACTCCCCGACCCCAGCTTATACACACACTCCCCCAGCATCTCCCATGGAGGCTCTTTATATTGAGGAGGAGGAAGCAGATATGGGAAAGACACCAGAACAAATCTCACAGCAGACACACACTCCATCTAGAGGGATGAACAGCAGCCAGAGCAAAAGTGGGACTATGATGGGGCAACACATGCACCTGTCCCAAACACACACGCTCTATAACTCTTCAAATAATTTGCCAGTCAGCTCTGGCTATGGCTCAAATTGGCCTTCCTCTGCGTCACTAACAGTCTCTGCACCCAAAGCTGCTGCACACAGGAATGATGACATTGACAAGCTGCTCATGGACTTGGAGAATCTCTCTCAAAGTATGACTCATCCCAGAAAGACAGAGCCTCCACTTCCAGCCAAAACCAGGAAGAGAGATGGGAGCCAAGGGATCACCTCCAGTGAGTCCTTCACTCAACCCAAAATGGCTCTGTTCCAAGTCTCAAAGCCAGACAGCCACTTAACCATGAACGGCATTAGCTCCAGAACTCCCCAGAGTTTCACTCCTCCTAAAGAAGAGAGGAGTGAAAATGTGGCAGGAGAGGAGGAGGATGGGGCATTGTTGCTGAGAATCCTTGAGAGCATTGAGAGTTTTGCCCAAGAACTGGTGGATTCCGGAGCAGGGAGCACAGGGAGTGCTGAGAGGAACAGTGGAAAGGAGCGGGAGGTGATGAGGCTCCTGCAGGATACACTGGCCACCGCTGGCAGGGCTGATACTCCTCTGGAGAGCACAAACCCACCAGCTGCTCCCACCGCTCCAACTGTACATACAGATGCAATCTCAGATACACTGATAAAACACACCTTGGCAAATACACCTGAAGTTTCACCTGCCCCAACACCTGCAGTATCTGATTCTGAAAGCAGTGCTTCAGCTGAACAAGCACCGAAATCTACACCTGAAAGTGCTCCCCAACCTTTGCCTACACCTACACCTGACCCTCCAGTCGAGTCTGTGGATAAAATTCCAGAAGCGTCTACAGATGAGGATGACTCAAAACCAGTCTCTGCCCCGATATCCTCTGCACCTGCAAACTTGCATTCCTCTAAGCTTTCCGATGAAACCATACCTGTGGCCGCACCTGAAGCTCCAGCTCCTGTTGCTACGCCAACCACAGCAAGTGCTACCGTTGCTGTTGGTGAACATACTGCTTTGAGAGATGCTGGCTCAACCCTTCTTATCCAGCAGACTCCAGAGGTCATTAAAGTAAGTGTTCCAAAGTCACACTCACAAATGCATAATCTAACAGACAATCAAAGACATGAACATTTCAGAAAATAGTTTATTGGTGCTGTGAGATTTGTTTTATTATTATTGCATTTCAAGCTGCTGCTAGGAAATAAAGAAATGGGTGTTTCAAGGGCTTGAGTAATATGAAGTACTTATTCCAAGACGGTGCCATTACAGGTGCAGTCCACTGATTGGGAATTTGTCATGTTGGAAAGATTGCTACATGCAGTGCAACTCTGGGTTAATTTATGTTCATTGATGTATATAAAAATGTGCCATCTGTGCTTTTAAATGTTACTGTTGATCCATTTAGGTGCAGTATGAGGGCGCCTGACTGAGGGATAGACATAGAGGGACCACACAGGCTGATTAGCATTAGACTGAAAATAAACTGAGGATTTCATTGCTGTGGCACAACCGGACTGATGCTGCTGTAATTGGTGGTATTAATTAGCTCTAATTAACATGCTGTTACAGTTACTCTATCTTGGCTTGAATCAAAAAAGTTGAGGCTTTGGATCACAGAACAGAATAGCTCCTTGTTGTGGAGTGGCTCTTTGTTGGCTTTTCCTGGTTTTGAACTTGTTTTGTTCTGTAATTGTATGTGTGTGCAGGCGTATGCATGTGTGTAGACTTTGTTTTTCTTACTGTGGAAAATGTAACGGTAAATTGCAGTTGTGCTACAGAGGAAAAGAGAAGGGAACTAGAACTTGATAATTTTTTTGTCTGTGTCTGCGCGTAAGCTGGAGTTAATGATGATAAAAAGGCAGTGTTACCTCAGCCAGTCCCTAATGTGGATGTTCTACTGCAAATTGTAGATTTAGGTAATTATGCATGCCAGACAAACGCACATTATCATCAACACAGAGGAATCAATCATTGTTGTCATTTATTCCCCTCTATATTTGACATTTTTCTCTTACTAATTTATTTTTCCTCTCTCGCTCCAACCATCCTTCTCCTCATCACGCTTCCTCTGCTGTTTATGTGTGTTTATTTACTGAGCTGTGTAACCTTATGCCCTGCTGATATGTAGGGCACCTATTTATGAGGTTACCATGGTAGCTGCCACAGTAAGAACGGAACAGCCAGCACCCGAACACATCATTACACAATCTCCTTCCTCCTCCATCTTCTGTGTCCCTATCCATCCCTTTTTTGTTTTTGTTTTTTCTGCTTATCTGCTCCCACATTTCTTGCAGTTAAACTCTCTCCGTTTTTCATTTTTCTGGCTTATAGGTCTACTTTTGTTTCTCTTCTCAGTGTCCTTCTTTCACCTGCGGTCAAGGATTATGTCCGTACTGATCACTTCTTGTCTTCCAACCCTGTGATTGGCTGTTGTTTTATTTTGGGAGAGGTGAATAACTGTTGTTGCTGCGTGGAGAGCAGAGAAACCCAATGGGAGGTGCTCATTGGAGCACTGGAGGAAGTGGGGGGAGGGTTGGGTTGTTGGCACAGCAAGCGTTAATGGTATCATTACCCTACAACCCCCTCCACCCCTGGCACAGCTAGGTGTGAGGGAGACCTAAATCTGTCCACCCCTCTGTACTATGGCATCCCGTTAACAGACTCACTGTCGCCACAGTGTAAATGGACCGGCATACGTGCATGTGTGTGCATGTTTGTGTGCGTGTAAGCATGTGAGCATGTGTTATGCACACCTAGGCTTTATTACATGTCCAGATGTTCATACATGTGTGCATTTACATGTGTGTTCATGCATGCATTAAATTTGTTTGAGTTAAACGTGATGAATATCGGAGTCTGATCAACTGTGCGTGTGTGCATCTGTCTGGCTGTCTGTTTGTTGGCCCATGGGTAAGATGACCCGGTGCTACTGTGGGTCACAGCTGAGTTTGGAATAGCTCTTCGACACCCAATACCAATTCTGGCACTCTGGGAATTATGTTAATATTCCTCAGCGCCAACCCCGCCCTGCAATGCATTAAACTGCCAATCAAACTGTAAACAAGACAAGCCCCCTCATGCACTCACGCAACTGCAATGAACCACACACTCCACGTTGAACATTTGTAGCTTTGTTTCGCTTGGCACTGCCATAGCTTCACTGGGAAGTTCTGCTAAGCCCTCTATGGTGACGCAGGCCCCAGGCAGTAGTATCTTCATCTCTGCTTTACGCATGTTTATTGTTGATTCTGCTGCTGACAGACTAATACAGGGCTTTCTGCACCTGTCAGAACACACCCATTAATCTCCATCATGACAGGAAAGCTGACTGATATAAATCAGAGGCAAAGCCGTAACACTCATAGTGGGGAGATGTGATGGTGAGAGTCAATTAACTTTAAGGGCAATGGGCTTTGAATGGGCTTTCTTTCTATTCCTGTCTCTCTGTTTTTAGGTAATATAATAAAAGCTGCTTTCGGCTCCTCCCTTGTTCACAATGGGTTGGCCACAGTGAACGTTTGATTTGGCAGATTTTTACACTGGAAGCCCTTTGTTTCTCCTCCCATATTTAAACCAGAGGTCTTTTGCTTGTTAGGCATATAAGTAAACCACTACAGTATGGAGCCAAATTTTAGGTAACATGGTAAGATGTATTTTAAAATGAGACAACATTCACTGGTGGGTAAATGTAACCTAATTTTTGTTCTAGTGGCATTGCTTCAGTACAGTTAATGGTGGAATTGCTTGCAGACACTGACTGGATCTATAGCTGCCACTCTGATAGTTTAATTAACACACTGCTGGTTTAAGTAGTTTTACCAACTTCTGCAGATGTGTCACAGATTAACAAGATTAACATTGGTCTTTAGCTCATTTTAAATTTGATGGCAACAGTATGTCTCAAAAGAGTTGGGACAGAGCAATTTACCACTGTGTAGCTTCCCCATTCAGTTCAGATTTCTGGGAACTGAGATCAGCTGCTAGACTTTTTAAATAGGAATATTGTCCCATTGTCCCACTCTGCTATAGGATTTTGGCTGCTCAACAGTCCTAGATCTTCTTTGTCCTATTTTTTGTTTCATGATGTGCAGAATTTTTCAACATGGTCTGGACAGCACCTGGACTCTTCTACCATGAAGCCTTATTGTTGTAATAGTGCATTATGTGGTTTAGTATTGTCTTGCTGAAATTTGCAAGGCCTTCCCCGAGAAAGGCATCATCTGGATGGAATTCCAGTATTTCAGGATTGGCATGCTGCCAATTCCATAGCCATTAATACATCCTCATATCATCACAGATCCAGGCTTTTGAACTAGGCACTGATAACAAGCTGGGTGGTCCCTTTCCTGAGTATGGAGGATGCTAGATCCAAAAGGAATATTAAATTTCGATTAGTCTGACCACAGAACAGTTTTCCACTTTTCCTCAGTTCATTTTAAATATAGTTTGCAGGAAAAGACTGGACATTTCTTTGCTAATGGAGCTTTAACCTGGATTTCCTTATGGCACAATGAACTGTGTTCACAGACAGTGAAATCTGGAAGTGTTACTGAGCCCATGCAGTAATTTCCATGACAGAATCATTCTTGTTTTTCCGTGCAGTATTGTGTGAGGGCCTGAACATCCCAGGCATGTGCACAGAGTTTTCTTTCAATACTTGGTATCTTTTGAAAATATTACATATGGTAGAAATATTCAAAGTCTTCACAGGTTTTTAATTTTTTTAATGCACCTTTGGTCTGAGCTATATGTCTCCCTATGTATACAGTAGTTCCCAAAAGAAAAATCAGTGGGTCTAATGGGGTAAGATTTGATCGGTTTCTTCTTGACCCTTTTCGAGAGTCCTTTGATTACTGGACAGTCTCAAAAAATATGTGAGTGGTCTGGTTTTCCCACATTTCCTCCAACACAGTTCCACTTTAATTTCTTTCACATATGATGAGATTATGAGAGGTGTATTTAAATACCACATTTTTAGTTTAAAGTCAAATTCTTTCCATAGTAGACTATTACTTTCTCTATGCCAGATTGTACACACCTCTTCCCATACTTTGTAGAATTTAGTCATTTTCCCTTAATATTTGCCATGTTTTGCATGGTTTCATTTATAATCTATATTCTTTGTGATTTTTACTGACCATTTACTGACTTTCTTTATGACTTGAATTGTAAAACGTCTTATCTGAATGAATCCATTTCACAATTTATAAATGCAGATTTTGCAGATTTGTGAACTTGTGCTTAACTCTCTAAGATGCTCGTTTCATACCCAGTCATGTTACTAATCTGTTGCCAATTAAGCTAATAGTCGCACAATGTTCCTCCAGCTGTTTCTTTTTAGTATCACTTAAATTTCCAGACAATAGTTGCCTCCATCCCAACTTTTTGAGTTGTCTCACTCCTGTCAAAATGAGCTAACATTTTTAATGGAAGAGTATTGTGGATAAAATATGGCTTTATGACACTTGTGAATCCTTGCATTCTGTTTTAATTTACATTATACATAAAATGTAAAATGTCCATCCATCCATCTTCATCCGCTTTATCCGGGGCCGGGTCGCGGGGGCAGCAGCCTAAGCAGAGAAGCCCAGACCTCCCTCTCCCCAGCCACCTCCTCCAGCTTATCCGTGGGAACACCAAAGTGTTCCCAGGCCAGCTGAGAGATATAATCTCTCCAGCGTGTCCTGGGTCTGCCCCGGGGGGCCTCCTCCCGGCGGAACATGCCCGGAACACCAACCCCAGGAGGCACCCAGGAGGCATCCTTGTCAGATGCCCGAATCACCTCAGCTGGCTCCTTTCGATGTGGAGGAGCAGCAGCTCTACTCTGAGCCCCTCCCGGATGGCCAGACTTCTCACCCTATATCTAAGGGAGAGGCCAGCCAACATTCGGAGGAAGCGGCGGACCGGTGCAGCGTCCGCATTACTGCAGCTGCAGCCCCAATCCGTCTGTCGATCTCCGGCTCCCTTCTCCCATCACTCACGAACAAGACCCCGAGATACTTGAACTCCTCCACTTGGGGCAGGAACTCATCCCCGACCTGGAGTGGGCACTCCACCCTTTTCCAGCTGAGAACCATGGCCTCAGATTTGGAGGTGCTGATCCTCATTCCCGCTGCTTCACACTCGGCTGCGAACCATTCCAG